GTACTAGTACTACTACTACTACCACTACTACTACTACTACTACTACTACTACTACTACTACTACGACTACTACTCCTACTACTACGATTACTACTACTACTACTACTACTACTACTACTACTACTTCCACTACTATACCACGAATAGTACTGCTACGGCTACTACTGTTACTATCATTACTATTGTTGCTGCTACTACTACTACTACTACTACTACTACTACTACGACTCCTACTGCTACTACTGCTGCTACGACCACTACTCCGACCTTTCACTACGACAACTACTACTACTGCCGCTACCGCGAATACAAATGCGACTACGACGGCTAGTGCTTCTGCTCCTACTACTGCGACCCATCGGGCGTTATTATTACTCTATATGTACTTAGCGTAGTTGCACTACTACCGTTTCTACCACTACTGCTACCACTCGTACTCCTACGACGGCTACTGCTACCACGATTACTACTGCTAGTAGTAGTAGTAGTCGTAGTACTACTACTACTACTACGCCCCTATTGCTAGCAATATTTTGAACTCGTCCTACCACTGCTGTGGCTGCCGTTGCCGCTGCTTCTCCTGCTTGGGCCCCTGGTGGTGCTTGATTTGTTGGGCATGCTACAGTTTTGCAAACTTGTGTTGTTGTCAGTGTTGCGGCCAGACGTGGGGTGAGCATTACGACATCAACCCTTCGTGTTACGACGGCTTTACAAGTGTTACTACTACTACTACTACTACTACTACTACTCCTACGACCACTATTATTACTACTACCATGCTTACTACTACGATTACGACTACGACTACGACTACTAGTACTTGTACTACTACTACTACTACTACTACTACTACTACTATTACTACTACTACTACTACTACTACTACTACTACTACTACCACTACTATTGTTGCTACTACGGCTACTACCTGACTATTATTGATACTATTGCTACGACTACGGCTACTACTATTCCGACAAGCGTTCTTGACCACCAGTAGTGTTCTTACTACGACTACTACTACTACTACTACTAGTCTGATATATATATATATATATCATTCTTTTTATTTTATCACTACTACTACAATTTTGACGTTCACGACTACTACTATGACCACTACTATTATTACTAGTACTACTACTTGTACTACTACTACTACTACTACTACTACTACTACTACTACTACGACTACTACGACTACTACTACTACTACTACTACTACTACTACTACCCTTACGACTACTTCTACTATTACTACATTGACGATTGCTTCTGAGCGTTACTACAACTTACATACGGGTATTCCTAGAAGTCGTAGAAGTAGAAGTAGAAGTAGAAGTAGCAATCGTAGTCGTAGTAGTACTACTGCTGCTGCTATTGCGGCTACCACTGCCATGACGGTGACGGCTAGTAGTTTGTTTCGTGCCGCTGCCACCATTGCGGCTACTCGTGCGCGCGAGGCCGTTCTGTTCCAGCCCGCTCGGGCCATGAAACAGAATTGGCGTCACAAGTCGGACTTGGCCCGCTGTTACCCCCATTCCTTTCTGTTTCTCCAGACTACTGCAAAGGCGAATTGTGATATGTCAATCGACTTTTCTGCTATTGCAGCGGCCTCTCCTGCAATGGTTTCTTTTGGCTGTCCCAGTGGCGTCCCGACTACCGAGGGGCAAAGGTCCGACTCGGGAGTAAGGCAGAATTGTGCAGAGCAAAGTAGGGAAGAGCGCCATAGAGAGGAGCAAAGTAGATTAGACGTATAATCGAGTAGGAGTAGAAGACCGCAGGGCCGACTTCGGTCGAGTAGAGTGGATCAGAGGAAGTGTAGCTTTGACTAGCGTAGAGCACGGTCAGGTCGAGTAGAGAAAAGCCGACTGCGGCGGATGACATCATATCCGAGTCCAGTAGGGTAGGGTCGGTGGAAAAGCGACGCCGGGCGACATGCAGCAACGAGGGGTGCAGTAGAGAGGGTACACGTATGTGCCTGCTTCCCGGCGTCCTCGCCCAGAGTCCCCCGAAGTTCCGTAGAGTCACCCAAGAAGCCCCCCAGCGGCCCCCCAAGGGCGCCCCTGCTGGATTCCGCCAGGCCCTGCGCGGCCCCGACACGAGGGGGCCCCCTCATTGCGAGCCCGCAGGGTGTTGGAGCAAAGAAGTTGGTGCAATGTACAGCGCAGTGCAGTTGCAGTGAGGAAGGTTGCCCCGCGCAGTGCACTGCAAGAATCTTGCCAGAAAAGGCAGCCAGGAACCATGGTGGCAAGGGCTGGAACCGATCCAGGTGACGCGTCCGCACATGACGTCAAAACACCATTTGGGTGAACATGTACCACCGAACGCTTCGAGGGGACCCCCGCCATATTCCACATAATGCCAGGACCCTCTGGGACCCCCTGGAATTGCTATTGTCCTCATCCTCACCGTCGTCCTCCTATCCACGTCTTCCCCCGCCCCTCGCCCTGGAGGAGGGGATGGGGGACGCGGAGGGAAGGGAATTGAATCAGGAGGAGTAGGAGGAGGAGGAAGAAGACACATTGGAAACCTGATGATGAGGAGGAGGAGGGGGGAGAGCGCGGGATGACGATGATGAGGGGGCGAAGCACAGATTTAAGAGGAGGAACGGAGGAAAACGAAGAGGAGGAGCAAAGGGAGGAGGAGGAAGATGAAGAGGAGGAAGAGGAGAGGGTAGGAGAGGACGGCCACGACGAAGAGTGTGCTCCCGACCGGAACCGTGACGACACGACGACGACGACGGTGGACGACAATATTCACAACGACGTTGGCTTTTGACGATGACGGCGACACGACGATGACAACGACGACAACCAAGACCACGACCTTGACCACGATCCCGATCACTGCCCGATCACGAGGACGATCGCGGCGACCCCAACCACGTTCACGACCGCGATCACGACGACGATGGCGGCGACGGCGACTGTGACGACGACGAAAGCGACGGCGGCGACAGAGACTTCAGAGGTTTCGTGGGGTCTTGGGGACATCCAGAGGTTCCTCCAAAAAGCCGGAAATTTCACAGACATCAGCAACAACATCAACCTCTTTCGAAATTCAGGGATCGTGGAGGAGGACGACGAGGGCGAGGACAAGGACGAGGAAGAGGAGGACGACGAAAAGCGCACCACAATCCCTTCAAAATCAGTCCTGGACACTTCTTGGGGTCCATGTCTGCCAGCTTTTCATTATCGGACAAGTCTTGTCGGCCCTCGAGGTCGACATTCAGGAACAATTTTTGGCGTCTCGTGAGCTCTGGGGTCGCGAAAGAAATGCGAGCCCTTGAAGCATCTCGACTTGAGCTATCGATTCAACCTTTTCGTTGCGTGTCTCGAACTGGATCGATCCATGAGGGTCCCGGGGTCTTAGGTGGGGCGAGATCGCCCGACGTGAATCACACATTGGCGTCGTATTGGCCTACAACATAACTCAAGCAGTGGCGAAACGTCCCAGGCTGCCCATAGGGCCACTGCATAATGTTTGTAGAACGTTTGCACGACATGTTTTGAGAGAATTTCTCGGTTGATACCGTCTTGCTTAAACACATCTGTGCTAAGTTCGAAGGTATCTTGATGTTGTTTCGAACATTATTTGTGTGGAATGAACCTGGCATGGTAGGCTCATAGGAATGCTGGGACGGTCGGTCCCTGCTCCAGTAGCCAGGTTCCCCGCGGCTGCGGGTGAGAGAGAGGTTGTAGCAAGTTTTGTGTAGTTGCGCGAGTTCCTCCTGCTGCGGCTCAGCAGCTGTTTTGTGAGCTGGCCCGGCCGGCTCGTTTTGCGCCCTGCAGCTAATCAGGTCTGTTTCCGTGCCCTGGACAGCTTCTGTCTCCGCCTGCGCGTTCGCTCGCGGACGCGACCGAAAAAAGAGCTCCTCCTGCGTGGCAGCCCGGAGTGGCCTTCCAAGCGTGGTCCTCCAGCGTGTCCAGAGTGGCCACTCTGCGTGGCCCCCCCGAAGCTTGGCCCCCCAGCGTTGCGCCCCAAGCGTGGCCCCCAAATTGTGGCATCCCAGCGGTGCCCCCCAGCGCTCTGAGCAGTGAGAAGAGCGAGCGCTATAGTGTCTTGGCATCGCTCGGACGTGTGCATTTTTCCTTCGGCGAGGACCATCGAGGAGCATCCTTGATCATTTGGCGAAAAAACCACGCACGAAACCGAAAAACAGCACAGGGAATGGACGTCCGAGCGATGGGGAGAGAGCGCTATAGTGTAGTGCGCATGCCGGAGACCAGACGGGAGGCCATAAGCGAAACCACATAGGAGCACCTATGGGGGATCATGTGGGAGCCCATTGAGACCATATCGGAGACAGGCCACACGGGAGACCACCCGCGAGACCACATGCGAGACCACGGGCCGTCGATCCTGGAGTCGAAGGGATTCACGCCAGGGCTTAGAAGAGATCTTGCATCGGACCCTGACAGACACACCTTTTATTAGTGAAACAATGCAACGCCCGGATCTCATCGGGCGGGGCCAGCACCAGGATAAATCGTTGCAGAGCGTTTCGGAAGGCTCTCAGTGTGTTCTGGAGCGTTCTGGAACGGTCTCGGGGCCGGATACATCCTCCAGAGCCGCCAGATCTCAGAGATCCCCGATGCGTCCTGGTCCGTGGCTTCGTCTCACCCTTTTTATCCCCCAAAACAGGGTCGGAGTAGGTGGGCTCCGAGGATCGCGCCGAGGCGCCGAGGCATCGGCGATGCCGCCCGATGCGGGGCCCCCGGGCCGAGGCCGCCGATGCATCGGCGATGCCTCGGCGACGCGGCGCGATCCTCCGATCCCATCTCCTCGGACCCCAATTGCCTGGCATCGCTCGGACGTGTGCATGTTCCCTTCGTCGAGGACCATCGAGGAGCATCCTTGATCATTTGGCGAAGAAGCAACGCACGAAACCGAAAAACAGCACTGGGAATGGACGTCCGAGCGATGGCAGGATTGGGAGGCTTCTCAGTCGGACGGGGCCAGGACGAGGACGAGTCCGTTCAGGAGCCCTCGGCGAAGGCCGCGGTGCCCGAGACATCCTCCAGAGCCGCTGGATCTCAGGGAGTCTCGATCTACATTCTCGCCCGATGTGATCCTCGTCCTGGCTTCGTCTTGCTCAGGTGCCTTCGATCCTCCGTCGACGACGCGGCTTCGGGCCCCGTCCCCCCGTCCCGGTGATCGGGCCCGTCCTGGCGGCCGCCGACGCGGCTGCGCACGGCGACCCGGTCGGCCCTCTGTTTGCAGTCGTCGTCGTCGTCGTCGTCGTCGTCGTCGTCGTCGTCGTCGTAGTCGCCGTTGTCGTTGTCGCCGCCCTTGGACTCCGTGCGACCCGTCTGCCGTCAAGCCGCGCCCGGGTGCGGCGACGAGATGCTCCCCTTGGGGAGGCCAGGGAATCTGAGAGTGTAGCCGTCGGAAGCGTCGCTTCCCGTCGTGGTCGGTGGCTTCGGTGGCGTCGGCGTGTTCGTCGCCGATGCCCTTGCAGTCGTCGTCCTTGTTCTCTTCCCCCTCCTCCGTCCTTCTCCGTCCTCACCCATCGCCTTCCACCTTCTCCCCCCCCTCGTCCGTCGTCCTCCTTTTCCTCGTCCCCCGTCGAGGGGGGAGGATGAGTCGTTGTCGTGCTCCGCAGCATCCCGTTCCTCCCCGCTCGACTCGGCTGTCCTACCTCGTGCCTCGACCCCGCCTCCCTCCTCCTGCTTTTGAGCTCGTTCTCCTCCCCCCTCGGATTTCGCCCGCCCGTGGCAGTGTACAGCCAAGTCGTTGAAATGAGGAACAGTTTGGGTAAGAAAGGGGCTCGATTTTCCTTAGGTCCTTCTATGGCTTTTCCTCTAGCCAACCTCGTGCGCGCAGGCGCTTGTGGGGCCAAAAAGGGGCTTCGTTCCATGTTTATCGTTCCTTCTTTCAGCAGCCCGACTGCATGAGGGGTATGAGGGCTGCATGGGGACCCGACGCGCGGAGGTTGGCGGCCCAGAAGCTTGGGGCCCGCTTGCCGGTGGCCAGCCCAGGGGGAAATGAGATTGGGCGGGTCTCCTCAGAAGGCTCTTCGGAGTCCTCCCGCCTTCGGAGAAGTTCTCTTCGCCTTCCCCGAAGACACAAATCATTTCTCAGAACGCTGGAGGGCTTCTGGACGCCCCGCCGTATTTGAGAAGGCCTCCTCCTCACTTCCCCCCTCGCTCGCCACGGATCTTGGGAGCTTCCCGTAGCGTTTTTGGGCCTTTTACTGCGCCTCCTTGGGTGCACTTTGGGTCCTTGCGCGGCGCTTATGGTCTCGAGGCGGCCCTGAAGAGCACCAGAAAAGGGCCCGTGGCCCTCGGGACATCTTCTGTGAGTAAGTTTTAGGGATGAGGTATGGCTGTGTGTAGGGGGGCTGGTGTCTTGCAAAATAGTTGCGTGCACATTTCAGCACAGGCGGGAGAGAAGGGTTCGCAGCAGCGCTTCCCCGCCCACGCAGCCATTCGCTTCACAGGTTCCACAGAGAGCCTTGCTACCAGCACGCATGTTGCACTGTACACATGTTGAGTCCGAAACTAGAGTCGCAGCTTTAGGGATGAGGTATGGCCGTGTTTGGGGGGGTAGACATCTCCCAGCTTGGATCGTCTAATATGGATCTATCCCACCTGCAGGCAATAGGACTGACTCTCGCGCTCAAGTCGATCATGCCCTGTCGCCTTCGCTGGTCGCATTCATTATCTGCCTATGCCGCCCTCGGCCGAGACACAGCCGACAAGCCGCTGTGCTTCTGAATGCTCGGAGTATCCACGAACGACCAACTTGACACAAATGAGACACCTCTGTAGAGATGCCTTCCTGCTCCACGCCACCTCTACAACACCTCGCATCGGGATCCTCATCATCCTGGCGTCCTTTGGCTCGACTTCAATGGCCTTGGGGTGCTGCTTAGCCCCCCATGGGCGTTCCGAAAACACTGCGAGGCCTTTGCAGCCCTGGCCTGGCCAGGGGGGACCTCGCGAGGCGTTGCCCACGCCAGAGGTATGGCACCCTGGGCGGCGCCGCAGGTGGACTCCGTAGCGCTTTGGTGGCGCCCTGGAAGCGCCCTGGAAGCGCTCTGTGAGCGCCCTGAGGGTGCCCTGGGAACGCTCTGGGAGCGCCCTAGCAGCAACTTATGGGACTCACTATGTAGCCCCAAAACTGCTCAGCGGGGGTTGCCCCACCCCCATATTCCAGTCTCCCGTCGTCGTCGTCGTCGTCGTCCTCGTCGTCGTCCTCGTCGTCGTCGTCGTCGTCGTCGTCGTCCTCGTCGTCGTCGTCGTCGTCGTCGTCGTCGTCGTTTTCGTCGTCGGTTTCGGAGGCGCCGCTTCTGGTCGTCGGCGTCGTCGTCGTCGTCGTCGTCGCTTTGTTTCAGCGGAAGCGCCGCTTCTGGTCGTCGGCGTTCGCTTCATCGGAAGCGCCGCTGACCTGGTCGTCGTCGTCGTCGTCGCGTTCGTCGTTCGCATCCCCGCTTGGCGTTTTCAAGGCTCGGGCTGGGGAGGGAGGGAGGAGGAGGTGGAGGAAGGAGGGGGCAAGGAAGGAGGGGGGGGGAGGAGGTGGTGGAGGACGCGCTCAACGAGGAGGAGGAGGAGGAGGAGGAGGAGGAGGAGGAGGAGGAGGAGGAGGACGAGGACGAGGAGGTACATTCTGAGCGTGTAGCTCTGCTCGAGCACCTGCGCTTCGCGCTCGAGGTCCTAGAAGTGGCCCGCGTGGTCGCGCGGCCTCGCGGCGCAGCGAACGCTGCAGCGATGCGCGCAGCGCAACGTCTGCAGGGCCCGTCCGCGGCCGTCGTCCCACGGGTTTTCCACGTCGAGCCAGCCCGCCTGGTCGCCCCACGCGTGAGACTGCACCCGCGACTGAGCCTCGTACCTGTACTTCTTCTTCGGCACCATGCGGATCGACCTGCCCTTGTAGTCATGGCCGTGCCACTCCTCACCGTTCTTGAACAGCACCGTGGTCTTGAGCGGAACGTCCGTGAGCTTGGGGCCGCCGTCCTGGCTCGTGCCGCTGAGGCAACTGAACTGCGCGACCATCATGTTGTTCGGCCCGTGGCTCACGTAGCCGTGCCAGTCGGTCAAGTTCGAACGAGACATGTACCTGACGTAGTTGTGCTGATCGTCGATGTGCATCAGAGTCTCTCGATACGGCGACGTGTCTGGCAATGGCTCGATGATGTAGTCGTACACCGTCATGGTGCGCCGCATAAGCTCTGGCAGCGGCACCGCCATGGCGACAGCTGGAGAGCCCACTGAAGGACACTTCACAAGCAGAGAGCGGCGGTCCCGCTGCTTGAGCCCACACTTGGCTACGGATGTATCCCTATACATAGGGGCACGCCCACCAACAGCCCAATGGTCAGAGGATGATGGTGGGAGGAAGGAGGAGGGGAGAGAGGAGGAGGCAGGAGAGGAGAGGAGAGGAGAGGAGAGGAGAGGAGAGGAGAGGAGAGGAGAGGAGAGGAGAGGAGAGGAGGAACGCGATGCGCCGTCTCTTCAAAACGAGGACCCAACACCACAGGATGGTCGGGAAAAACTGCTCCTCCTCTCATCCCTCTTTCTCCTCGCCCCCCTCGCCCCTCGCCCCTCTTCCTCTCGCCCCTCTCCCCTCGCGCGTTTCGTGGCCCCATGCGGAGCTCCACCCAGGGCCCCAGTGGCGCAGCCCGCATGCGGTGCGCGCCCAATTTTGGCTCACTTTTCACACGTTTCGTGGCCCCATAGGGAGATCCACCCAAGGTCCCAGCGGCGCCGCCCGCATGCGGCACGCGCCCCATTTTGGCACACCCCTCACGCGTTTCGTGGCCCCATACGGATCTCCAACGTAGGCTCCAATGGCGCAGCCCGCACGCGGTGCGCGCCAAATTTTGGCACACCTCGCGCGCGTTTCGTGGCCCCGCACGGAGCTCCACCCAAGGTCCCAGTGGCGCAGCCCGCATGCGGTGCGCGCCTAATTTTGGCACGCCCCTCACACGTTTCGTGGCCCCATCGGGAGCTCCACCTATGGCCCCAGTGGCGCAGCCCGCATGCGGTACGCGCCCAAGTTTGGCACACCCCTCACATGTTTCGTGGCCCCATAGGGAGCTCCACCTATATGGTCCCAGTGGCGCAGCCCGCGTGCGGTACGCGCCCAATTTCGGCACGCCCCTCACGCGTGTCGTGGCCCCATACGGAGCTCCAACGTAGGCTCCAATGGCGTAGCCCGCATGCGGTACGCGCCCAATTTTGGCACACCCTTCGCACGTTTCGTGGCCCCGTAGGGCGATCCACCCAAGGTCCCAGTGGCCCAGCCCGCATGCGGTGCGCGCCACATTTTGGCACACCCCTTACGCGCTTCGTGCCCCCATAGGGAGCTCCACTTTAGGCCCCAGTGGCGCAGCCCGCATGCGGTGCGCGCCAAATTTTGGCTCACTTTTCACACGTTTCGCGGCCCCATAGGGAGCTCCACCCAAGATCCCAGTGGCGCAGCCCGCATGCGGTGCGCCCCCCATTTTGGCACACCCCTCGCACGTTTCGTGGCCCCATAGGGAGCGCGGGCGAAGATGGTACTCACAATTGCGGTATTCACAACTGCATATGGTTGGGCCCTTCGCCAGGCTACTTTAACCAAAAAAACTAGCAAGGTCGCGCGCTCTTTAAACCAGCACCACATAGGCGCCCCCATCGCGGTGCCACGCGTGGGCCGCGTGAGCATCGCGCATGCTAACTGCCATCAACTCCCGCGAAAGCGAAAACCATCTGCTTGAGCGGGTGCGCCTGCCAGTGGGCAGCAATTTCCTGACGACACCGCGCAGCGCCCCACGTTCGCAGACGCAGGCCGGCACGAGGTCAGCACCATCCCCGACCAAAGCCGCGTCGTGAACGTGCAACTCGCGACCATCCTCCCAGGCGCCATGACCCAACTCCACATTTGGATAGCCTGGCAATTCCTTTCTAGACCCGCGAAGGCCCTCGCAGATGGATTGCGCACCACCGGTCACATCATGATGGTGCCTCGTCAGCAAGTTCGAGAGGACAGAGTACTCGTACCGCTCTGTGTTCCTGACGCTGTTCTCTGCGGACTGCTTGACGCGAATATTTAAGCGCTCAACAACGAACATGTCGACTACAAACTTGTCTTTCCGAATTTGATCTGGAATATGCAGCGTGGCGTGGTGTTTCGGAAGTAAATACCTCTTGCCGCATGCGGCTGCGTGCCTATCCATGTGTATGCGAAGAGCGGCCCTGAGCTCATTGAGA